CATAATCCCATTTGACTGGTCTCAATCACTGATTGTGCCAGTCTATAAGAAAGGACAAAAGTCCTCTTGTGACAATCAAAGAGGAATCAGTTTGACTAATATAGTGTCTAAAATATTAGCTTCAATCATACTTCGACGCCTAACTAAAACTCGTGAAGAGCAGACTAGAGAAAACCAGGTTTCCGACTTGGACGTGGTTGTATAGATCAGATATTCACACTACGTCAGGTTCTAGAACACAGACACACATTCAGACGCCCCACAATAGTAGTATTTCTCGACCTTAAGGTGGCATTCGACTCTGTTGATCGTGAGGTTCTATGACTGAATTAACGATTCAAAGTTAAAATTTACAGATGGGGGTTATATCTTGAACAGAAATTTGTTTGGATTATAATGATAAATACGAATGGACAATTTTCAACACATTCCTCAAGCAAATGAACTATTACTTTTAAATTTCATGAGTTAGAGTTTCTAACTCAAGTCACTCTCAACATTATATAAGTATTTCTCTGTATCATGAGATAATAATTCAAGAACAATCTGAGTGACTTATTTATCTATCTTTAACATACAATGCTGATTATTCAGTAAATGAATATCAGAGTTTGTTTCAGCCATCATCTTTATAAGAAAATATGTTGATCATTGTTCTGTTCATCAAGAATTAGTTGGAAGTCTCCACTATTATGTTCAAACTTTAGTGTGCTTCAGAATATTGATACCTTAAACTCAGTGACTCAATTTAAGGAAAGAAGAAATCACTTGTTATATACAATGTAAATGATTTATTTGAAGTTTATATTATGTAAACACATGTAAGGCTTTGACTATATGTAGATCCGTTTTGTAAGTGTAAAATAAGTATGATTAATTTATTTATAAGTTGTTGAGATGGTAATTATCATATTCACATTAAATCAAAGATCATCTTGCTATACCCAGAAATTTTGATGCATAAATGCTTAGGTCAGCTTTGCTTTGGTACTTATACAAGACTTGTTATTTATTAACCCTTTATTCAACATATATTAATACGTGACATTAATTGTGTAAAATTATGTTCGAACTAATCTCAGTGATTGAAATTTAAGTAATTCTAACGTTTCGTCGAACATGCGTGTCTGGACTTATTCAGGGTAATTATTTAAATTTCAATCACTGAGATTAATTCGAATATAATTTTATATAAATAATGTCTTCTATGTTCTCAGCGCCCAGTTTCTGTCAAAATATTCATTCAAATGTATTAATATGGTTAGGGAGCTCTATTTTATTGGTAAAAATTTTACAATGATGAAATACGGAGTTGTTGTTGGTAGTCGCACATGCCTTACTATATTATTTATGACCGGACGGACATTCTTGGGGGTGGACTGTGCTACCAAGTCGCCAGTTGGTTTCCGTACAACACTTGGAATATTCAGCTTAGACGGTGACGCCGTCCGTCCGTCCGGTCATCAAAGAGCCTGAGATTCAGAAACGTACTTCGACCTCCAAACAACAAGGTGCTTAACTAGAATACACTGGAAAACCTGGGAAAACAATAACGGTTCGTGATGACTCTCTCATAATCATGAACCTCATAGACAACACTGACCTTCCTCTCAGTTTGCAGGACAAAAATGACAGGATGCTCTGGGGTGAATTAAATAAGAAGCTTGAAGTTCCTAGATTACAGCCTCTGACGATCACACGGCTCACTCGGGGAAAGGAATGTAAGCATCAAAATCACCCAAGGCTACTTCGTGTAACACTTAAGAATGCTACTGACGTAGAGGATATCCTGCTAGCTAGTCATTTACTGAAATCCGATGGGAACGTAAGAATACTGCCCGACACACCGTATTCTGAGCGCAATCTCATCAGGAACATCCCTAAAGAATCTCGTGAGAAGTTTTTCCGCGGAAGAAATATAATCGTGCAAGGTGTACCGGAAAACACGAACCCTAGTCAAGCAAACTCTGATAATTAGGGAATGAAAATTCATCAAGCAGTCCTTGAGGTTCAAAAACATACTGGCCCAACATGTGACGAGACTAGCCAAGAAGGACGGTGATTCTAGACCGCGGCTAATGAGGATAACTTTCCCATCCTCTCATATGGCGGCTGCAACTGGAAGCATTTCGTGTCAACAGACATCGGTTGCCAACTGGAATCCATATGCACCACCCGGACAGGCCATATGAAGCTAGGACCAAACACAAAGGCAAGTTGGAGCTGACCATTCCACTTGTGGACTGTCTTGTTTATAAAAAAGACGTGTAAACGTCAGCGCCTACCAACTCGTCAAACCTTACATAGGTAGACTACCTGTTAATTCACATAAGGCTCATACAGCCAAACAGGAAGGAGAAGCTCACACGTTTCAAATTGAAAGCATAAACTGCTTATACATGAACGCCGCGAGTCTTCCCAATAAAATGGATGAGCTACGTGAATTTAGTAATGCTAATAAGGTTCATTTGATAGGAATATCTGAAACTTGGGTATCTTCTCAATTCTCGGTCCAGGAGCTAGCAACACCTGGGATGTCTTTGTTACGCAACGACAGAAAAACAGGAATTGGAGGTGGAGTAGCCGTATACATACTGCTTCGGTCTGGGCATCCGAGCTGTATCACAGCCCGCACACAAATATGATGAACTGTCGATAATTATGGAAAATACTTTTCATGCTTCAACTATTAATCAAACGATTCACATTATTATTATTACTATTGTTATTATTTACTACGTCATTTATTCACTCTTTTATTCCTACTCTGTCTATCCTTATTTTTCGACTTATACAGCAGCTCGTTTATGGTGGAAATTCGGTTCTACCTAAACGTTCTCGAGTAGAGACGTTATCAGATATGGCTCAGAATAGAAGCCAGTGGCGATCCTGCTGTAACCTTTTACTTTCTTCATAAAAAGTGGTTGCTTCTTCCTTAACTGGAAAATTCTTCTGGTTGTACTTTTCTGTTTTCCCATTATTATTATTACACTACCTTACATTAATCTGTTCGTTATCGTTTTTTTTACGCTCCTTACGTTTTTTTCCTTCACTGCAAATTCTCATTGTTTTGTGTGGCGCATATATATTTGGTGCCCTCCTGTACCAATACTTATGTGTTTAAATAAATAAATAATACATGCAATCTTGCTTGGAGGTATACCAAGTTCACAACCATGAGTTTAACAATCTTGATGAGTTATTATGGTGCTCTGTAAGATTGTCTACTACTTTGAGGTGCCTAGTCGGAGTCATATATAGGAAGCCCACTGCTGACATCGAGTATGACAGTCGTATGCTGGAAGGACTATCCCGCTCTACGCGTCTCGGTTTCACTCATATCCTGATTCTGGGGGACTTCAATCTCCCTAGAGTCAATTTCGCGGAACATACGTATATTGGAGGTGAAAACTCAACTGAAGCTCGGTTCTTCAACCTCATTGAGAATTTGGGATTACACGAAAATGTGAAGTCGGCAACTCGTTGGAGAAAGTCAGACACCATCGCGCTTAGATTGTGTATTTACAGACGAAGGATTTCTAGTTGACAACCTCTCAATCCTGGCTCCACCAATGACTTCAGCTCCGCCATTTTATTTAGTAGGCTGCGAGCATTTGTGTAGCACACTTTTAAGTCTATGGAGAGCTTTCCCTTGCCACCCAGAGTGGCTTGGGGATCGTTTTGCTCCGAACTTTTACAATCTGAAAACCCTTAAGAACAAGGTTTCTTTCACCGTTTCGGCGACGCTCGTTTATTTCCGCTTCTGCAGCTCTTCTCTTAATACGATCAGCTAGGCTGAGGTCCTCACGGACATATATTCCGGATCTAATCAGTTTACGTGAATTACTTAGAACCACGTTCCTTTCTTCCACCGTGTTGAATGTAACCTTTAGGAGGCGGTTTTTCTGAGGACTTTCGGAATCCACCTTTTTTCCTATTCTATAAAGTTTACAAATACTAACTCCTGAAACTGTATCTGGGAGTAGTTTACTTAATGATGTCTTAATATGATTGAGATCATGTTCAAATCTTGCCTTTGATTCAGTGTCTGAAGATTCTCTTATCTTATGAAAAATGACTGATCTCTCAGAGAGATCTGTCTTTTCACGCGGTGAGGATTTTTCTTCTGATAAAGTCTCTTCCAATGTCTTGCTGACCAGCTGCGTTTTGCCTACAGCCTTTTTCTTCTTATTTTTTTTCTTCTTACCGAAGTCCATTTGTCACCACTCAGAACAGCCACACCTGGACTATGTGGAACGGTGAGTTTTATCCGGATCTTCTGTTTCGACTAGAGGTGTATGACTGCCGATGTCAATATCAAGCGATACTTCATTTCTCGTTAATGTCAACGGAGATTTCACGTTCCCACCAACCGCAGTCAGGTGTTTAATGAGTCCAGTAGCAGCACTTACTACACTGACACATTCTTCATCGTCAGTGCTCCTGTTATCAGTGCTTCCGCCATCGTTTTTCTTGCAGGCCAAAGCCAATAGGCCCATAGCCTCCTGTATTAGTACCTTTTTATCCGTACAGCAGAACACACAAAGCCAATGCGAGTTAGGCTTCCAGCATCTTTTGTAAGCCGTCGGACTTAGTCGTGTACATATTTTGTGATACCACTTTTTACAGTCGTCACACTGCATTCCCTCCTCAACGGAGAACAAACAATTTGGTTGCCCACATTTGTGAGTCTTACCAACCATTGTAATTCGATTTAAAAGGTTTAAAAACGAAAAATGATAACAATGTGAACACAAGTGTTAGTCAAGGACTAAAAACAGGTACCCAGGACAAAATGTAGCAAAAAATTTCAAACTTTAACCCAAGAACTCTTAGTTAAAGTAGATCAAAAATGCTTTTTAGTGCAATAAGTACCAAAAGCAAGTATAATCACAACAAGTACAAAAGTCACTGCCCCTAACATTTCGAATAAAAGAATGACGATAGATTACAGTTGACTATGATCAAACATATATCCAGTAAATTCATGACAAACCAACCTGGACGATTTCAAAGCAACCAAAGATGCACCGGAAACCCAGTCTATCAAGTACCGTCAAAATTCGTAAAGTCGAGTCGATCAGGCAATGTATACAAACAAGCCAATGGAAATGAACAAGACGATTTTCTTCTGCCTGTGCACAACAGTACAATGAATAACTTTAAAAATACATCCATTGTAATAAGAAGCAGGGTTATCTTCTTTAAAAACCTAGTTTAAAATCAAGCGACGAACTATGTATTTTGTCGTATTAGCATGAAAATATTAATATTAAACGTAGCATACACCATACCGCATCACGGAAACTGTATATACCAAGCGAAAAAATTATAATACTAAATGTCCAACCATGAAGATTGTGGAGATACTGGAAATACAATTCGTGAAATGTAGATTCGAAAGGTCAGATGGTCTGTGCCGAACGAACGTTACTATTAACACGAGTAAAGTCTTTTTAGCTCTGCTTTCACCCTAGACGCTTATATCCTTTGTTTGTTGAGCGCGTTTTAAAACACCGATGGCTTTCAAATTTACACTGAAACAACCTCTATTTCGTGAGTTCATAACATTAAAACTAGAAACCGTGAACTTTAACTTGCGGAACTGATTATTTTGAGAATGTATTTACAGTTTCATAAGCGTATCCACTTAAAACTTGCTGAGTTCAAAATATCGACCCCCAGTTTAGGCTGGCTTTACATAATTTAGAGCTCTACTAACAGATTTAAGCTATAAGAAACTACAGATCTTCTATCACTAGAAAAAAAACTAATAACCATCAACGGATTGTGTTTGAATTCAGCATAGCGACCATCAAAATAATCCACACTTGTCCATTCCCACAGGTAAATTCGAAACACAATGGTTTGGTTGAGTACCGTTCCATTAAATATGCATTCGAGTTGAACAGGATTACCTGAGTGGAGGTTAAAGTTCTAAGATTTCGTATTGCGGAGTTTAAACTCAGCCATTGACGTCCTATTAATGATAAAGTATAATATTGAAGATGACACAGGTATTCAGTGTTTGACAACGCTTTTACCAGCAACACCTAATATAATTCGTACCCACCTAGAGAAATCAAAAGACAGAGTCGAGGAGATCGGAAGAGTGTATTTAGCGATTGCGGTAGAGCACAGCGTTACCACACGTGATCTGGTACGGATGCCTGACCGAGCGCCTTCAGCTAAATGAGTCCACTCAAACTAATCTGCTCAGCATCCAATGTCGAAAACTTACAGAGCTATTTATTTCGGGGATTTATTTACCGCTACAAGTCACTCCCCCACCTAATGGGGTAGTGATGACCCTATGACGTGGCCAGCCAGAAGTTTAAACCCAACCAGTTTGTCGTTGGTAAACACTCTTCTGATAGCTTACTAGGTTTAGCAGCGTCTGGCCGTCTTTCCTTACTATATGGGACCGAGGTACAACATAATTAACAAAGAAAAGATACAATGAAAATTTCGGCTCTTCGTAAACTTCATCGCTCTTTTCCAGCCGTCCTGGAAAAAAAAAGAAAATGTAAGTGCATGTCGAAATACACTCGTACGCGCGTAAAACACAATGTCGGCGAAAAATGGAAAATAAACTCATGCACACGTAATTGCGTTAAAAATTTTGTTTTCTTTTTTATTAAATAATGTAAATATATAAGCATATTAAAACTGTTATTTTTTAAATATTATATATCGTAAAAAGAAAGATCGAAATAATATAAAATGTCGAGTAGTGCCTTATGTGCAGTAGTCGTTCAAATGTTCTGGAAATCCTACTCTTCTTCCAGAACGCGTCGTTTTAAGTTTATTTTCAGATACATCCGGAGTATCGTCGTGTGTGTTGGTTGTCGGTTGAGGAATTATGAGTGTAGGAGTCGTGTTATGCGATTGTACCGAAGGGAAATCGACGTAGATAGAATTTCCTTCTAAATACGCTGCTTTTAAGCAATCGATGCTGATGCTATCGTTTGTTCCGTTCTTATCGACTATATAGTACTTAGATTCATGTTGAAGAACTTTGAAGGGTCCCTCGTATGCTGATTCGAATGGTCGTCGATGCGACTATCGACGAACGAAAACGTGTGTACTATATCGTAAGTCAGGTTGAACGAAAACATCAGTTGATTGTGGTCGAGTGGAAGCAGGTTTAACTGAACGCATTGCGTTTGTAAGCCTGTTCGTGTAGGAGGTTAGATCCATGTTCATTGAAGAGGATGAAGGATCCACGAATTCTCCTGGAAGTCGAAGTGTCGTTCCATAAACGAGTTGAGTCGCAGTGTATCCAATGTCAGCTTTCACTGCATTGCGGATACCAAGTAAGACGAGTGGAAGAGCGTCGGTCCACTGTGAAACGTTTGCAGCTGATAGCGAAGCTTTCAGTTGTCGGTGAAAACGTTCTACCAACCCGTTTGCTTGTGGATGGTAGGCGGTCGTTCGGAAGCGAGTGATTCCTAAAAGTGTGGTCAGACGACGGAAAAGGTCGGATTCAAACTGACGTCCGCGGTCTGTAGTGGTGGTTGAAGGGCAGCCAAAGTTTGCTACCCATCGTTCGACGAAGGTGCGAGCCACTGTTTCAGCAGTAATGTCCCTGGTAGGTACTGCTTCTGGCCATCGAGTGAAATGGTGAATGGTCGAAGTCACACCTCGTGGTCAGCACCTTACGTGGATTACCCCATTGACGGATCAAGGTACCATAGATGCTTTGAAGACTGTACAACACAGAGGACGTTATTACAGAAATATATTATTTAAAGTAGATACAAGCGAGAGTAAGACCACTGCCGCATGGGCCAGTCCATGGTATACGATTAACTGATGCGCCTTGGTTGTACTTGACCTTGGCAGGGAGCGATGTTCTGTTCGTCATTCAGTGATCCAACTGCCGGATGATTTGGCTAGGGCTCAGTGACATTTCACTCGCCCTAGAATATTTAAAGTACTTAGTTACTTGCTTTCATTGTCTGAGCATTATATTACCTGATATTCCACATTGAGTGACGAAAGTTGTGAAAGACATTAGAAGATCACCTCTTAGATGCCTATAATCTGATAGCAATGATTCAGGGGTTTGAGGCGTCCTTTATGCTGCTTGAATTCGGGTCTGCAAACTGATATTTTGCTTCACTGTTAGATTTGTTCCAATGTAATCTTATTATTTGAGGGTGAGGGAGAAAACGCTGTGTTTCTGTACTCTTAATGAGACAGAAGAAAGCTGTTAAACATTAGATGGAATGTTCCACTGACGAAACTGACAAACTTGTATTCTGACGTCATCAATGCTTGGTTTGCTTGAAACGTAAGACCTTATATCATAGGGTACAAACACTTAGAGATTTATCGACTTAGGAGGTATATGTAGGGAAGTTACCTAAGTAGTCTTCCCACAATCGGAATACATCTTATGCTCCAGATATCAACATAAAGTGCATCAGCAAAAACTATCTTAGTACCATAAACCTCGACATTAGGAGTATACATACCGCCATTAAAACCCTCAAGCCAAATGCTAGTTCTGATGCCGATGACATCCCTTCGATTCTTCATAAAATGTCAGGACCGGACATACAGACGCTACTACTCGAAATATACACATTATCTTTAGAGACAGGTACATATCCGGAAACCTGGAAGTTGACGTGTGTTCTTCCCAAACACAAATCCGGACCGAGATACCTGGTGGGGAACTACAGACCCATAAATATCACCCCAGTCATATCACGCATAATGCAAAAAGTTATACAAAATCAACTATCTTATCACCTGCTTAAGGAAGGTCTAATAGACCCGTCACAACACGGCTTCATTAGAACAAGGTCGTTCATTGCATGTCTGATAGACTTCTTTAACGAGGTCACTGGTATACGCGACCAGAAGAAACTAATTATTATACTACACTTTGATATTAAGAAAGCCTTTGATAAAACACGTCATAATCTTCTGATCAACAGACTTAAGTCCGTTAGAATTATAAATCCCCTTTTGCAATGGATCAGGTCTTTTCTTACGGACAAATATCAAATAACCAAGATTTACTCTACAACGTCTACACCTCGACCAGTAACCAGTGGTGTTGTGTAGGGTAGTGTCTTGGGTCCAGTGCTCTTTATAATCTACATCAACAATATATGCAAGTGCTTTAGCACAGGTAAGACCTCTCGGTCAACCTGGGCAACCGACGACGGTATCTGTGGACGTTCACCGTTGCTGATGTTCCCACAGCCATACTAGGTATCGATTTCCTACAGCACTATGAATTGCTTGTTGATTCACGCAGGCTGCAGCCAATCGATAATTCGTCAAACAGTAAATTCATGGGCTGCAAAGCCCACATGAACGCGTACCGAATCCTCGGCACTTTTCACTCGCGTGACGATAAATTACACCCCTTATTCGAGAAATTCCCCACACTAACTAAACCACTCAAGGAGCTTCCACCGGTGACCAATCGTTTGGTACACCACATGGTCATCCGTGGACCGCCAGTCACGGCACGACCTCGCTGACTGGCACCGGACAAATTAGCTCTCGCTAGTCCGAAACGGTTATTCTCGTATATAAAAAGGCGAATTAAGAGAAGCTATGGAATTCCATCACTTTTGATACGAGACAATCCGTTAATCTTAGCAGAGAATGATGCCGAAAAAGCTGAAGCTTTATCGGAATATTTTAGCAAAGTGTTTTCTATCAGTAATGAGGAATGACCAACGATTCACTGTGATCGTGGCGGATAGCTGATGGACCCTGTAGTCATTGAGAAAGGTACTGTTTTAAGGCTACTTCAGCACCTCAAACCTGATAAGTCCAGTGGTCTTGATGATATTCATCCTAGGATTATGGAATTACTGAACCATTAACGATACTATTTGACATGTCTCTAAGACAGTCCAGACATCCTAGAGACTGGAAAGACGCCATAATAAGTCCGGGGTATAAGGCTGGAAGTAGGGATTTAGTTAGTAACTACAGACCCGTTAGCTTGTAGAATTATGGTCTACTATGATATTAGTACTGCTCTAATAATAGACCTAATCCTAAAATTGTAGATTTGTCATGATATAACTGCCTAATCTATAAGATCTTACGTGGAAGTCACACCA